GGGGGTCTCCGGGGCGCTCCTCGTCGCCGCGGCCGGGTCCGCCTCGGAGTTCTGGCCCGACAGCACCCTTGTGGATAGAGAAAAAGTAAAAACAAGAGGAAGAGGAGGAGGATGAGCAGGGAAAAAAAGGGAGGGAGGAAGAAGAATGGAGGGAGGGCGGGAGGCGGAGGCAGAGGAGGAAGATGAGGAGAGAAGAGGATTCAGAGGAGGAAGGAGGTATGAGGGTGAGGAGGAAAAGGAAGACGATGAGCAGGAGAAGGAGGAGGATAATAATAATACAAAGAAGAAGGAGGATGGAGGAGGTTCGGCTACGACATCGCAAGAAGGCGTCAAGGCGACGTCCGCCGAGAGGGAGGAGTGGACTAGAGGCATCTGCCCTTACCTTCCGCCCGCCAGATCGACCCATTCCCTAGGCACGTTGACGCTGTGGCCCGGAAGGTACGTGTGGGTGAGGAGGTGGAGGAGGAGCAGGATGAGGAGGAGGAGAAGGAGGAGGAGGGGGAGGAGGAGAGAAGGGATTTTTGAGGAGGAAGAGGAGGAGAAGCAGCAGCAGCAGGAGGAGGAGCAGGAGGACTGAGGAAGAGGCGAAAGAAAGGTGGAGAGGAGGGAGGAAAAGGGAGAGACGGGGAGGAGGGAGGAGGGAGAGGGAGCAGAGATGATGATGGACACGGAAGGAGGATGAAGGAGGAGGAGGGATCTACCCGTTGAGCTACCCAAGGGAGAAGGAGGGGCGGAAGAAGGGAGGGAGGAGGAGGGACGGAATGTGGGAGTGAGAGAGGGCGAGGAGGAGAAAGAGGGGTAGGAGGCGGATGGGATGAGCCATGAGGAGGAGGGGGAGCCGGAAGGAGACGGAGAAGGGACGATGAGGGGTGAAGGTCGAAGGGGACGAGGAAGAGGAGGGGGGGGCAGTAGAATGATGGAGGAGGAGGAGGAGCAGGAGGAGGAGGAGGAGGAGGAGCAGGAGGAGGAGGAGGAGCAGGGAGGAGGCGGAGGGATGTGGGAGGAGGAGGGGCGAAATGAGGGAGGGAGGGAGGGAGCGAGGGGGAGCAGGAGGAAGATGAGGGATGGAGAAGGTAGAAGGTGGAGAGGTTGCCTTACGGGCCCGGTCGCGCCCAGATTGTGGGGGATGTCTCAGGCGGGTTGCTTGTTTTGTGGCGTAGGCTTCTTTGACTTCACATCCATGCAGGTCCCCATGGTCACGTCGATGTAGGGAGAAGGACGGCCGCAAGGCCGGAGGACGGAGGAGGAAGGATCAAAGAGGAGGACGCAGGACGACTGAGAAGGGAGTAGGGAGGAAGAGTCGGGGAGGGGGTACGACGGGTAGTAGGAGGCAAGGGAGGGGAGGGGGCTCGCTGACCGCCTGTCTGTATGTCAGTTGTCGTCGTCGCTGTCCCTCATCTCAGTCGCCGTCGTCGTCATGGTCGTCGTCGTCGTTGTTGTCGCACTCGTCGTCCACTCGGTCGGACCCGCTCTGACACATAGACATTCGTCGCACTCGTCGTCCACTTGGACTCGCCCTCACACATAAACACTCACGGCCAGACACTCACAGCGGGACGTGCCAGGAAATGGGAAACACATATTGGGATCTCCGTGCTGAATGATTGTTGATGTGGTTGTGTGCGTGATGGCGAAGACGTCCCTTCGTAGTCGTACCCCGCCTATTGCAACCCGTCGCCGCGCTTGACGCAGGAGAACAAAGTCTGTGTGATGGTGACGCCGGGTTGCCGTGTGGGCTGCGGTGGATGGCCGACTTCTCTGCCGAAGCTCGTGATGTGTGACATTCCGCTCGCGTCGGCTCTTGCAGCATCCCTCGCTCCGTCGGCGAGGAGGGAGGGGGGGGGAGATGGGAGGGGAGAGGAGGAGGAGGAGGAGGAGGAGGAGGAGGAGGGAGGAGGAGGAGGAGAAGTAGGAGGAGGAGGAGGAGGAGGAGGAGGAGGGGGAGGGGGAGGAGGAGGGGGAGGAGGAGAGGAGGGGGGGGAGAAAGGGGGGAGATGGGGAGGGGAGAGGCACGGAGGGGAGGCCCGCGGGAGGCGCGCGCGCGCGCGCGCCCGTGCGAGGGCTGCGCCAATCACGCCCGAGGTCGCGCCCGACGGGCGGGTGGCAGAGGGCACGCGGGGGAGGAGAGGAGTCAGGAGGGAAAGAAACACACAGACACAATGAATCGTCGATTCCCCAGAAAAGATGGGAACATATGGGAAGTGGGGGGGACGACAAACACCCAGAACATATAGGAAAATATGGGGAATCGTTTTATCTGCGTGTATGTATTTGTGTGTTTGTGGGCCCCTTCAAGGAGGGACGGGGGGAGTGCACGGGACGCTCGCGTGCCCGCGCGGTGGCGGTTCCAGCCTGCTGAAGAGATCGCGCGTCGCAGGCTGGTTCTTGTCCCGTGTGTGTGGCGCTGGGACCCGCCGACGCCGTCCTGTTCGTCGTCCTCCTCGTCCTCCTGCTGGTCCGTGCGCTTCCTGCCCCCTCCCCACCGCTTTTTTCAGCACGTCTCCCCTGCCTTCCACAGTCATCCTCCACCCTTCGTCGCGTCTTCCCCCGCCCTCCGTTACTCTTCCCCCGTCCCCCTTTTCCCACGTCGCCCCATCACTGGTTTCCCGCCTCCCCCTCGTCTCCTCTCCATCTTGCCCGTCACGTCCCCTTTCCCTATCGCACCACCCCCCCATCTCCTCCTCCACCTTGTCACTTCTCCCCCATTCCTCCGCCTCTTCCTCGTCATCATTCCGTTCCTGCACCTGCTCGTCACCGTTGCCTCCCCATTCTCCGTCTCATCTGAACCATTCTCCCCCATCTGTCTGCCGTGATGTTCCGTTCTGCGCGCTCCTCCGCGCTCTTCTCGTTCTCGATTTCTTCTCCTCACCTGTTTCGCCAGTCCTCCCCATGATCTTTCCTGACTGTCCCCACTCCTCGCCGTCCTCGACGTCATCCCTCCGCTGCCTCCCAGATCATCCGATAGGCCCTTCCCTACCCCTCCAGCGACCCTCCCTGCATCTGCCCCTGCGCCTCCTCACCTCCGCTTCGGCTCCCTGACCCCCAACGTCATGATTTGTTCATGACGTCGACCCTCAAAAGGTTTCGACCTATTCCCCCGGACCAGTTTCTCATCCTGAGTCGTTGTTTGACGGTCCCGAGGGCCAGGGAAGGGCCCCCGGAGGCAGAAAATGACGAGAGACCGCCCGTCGTGATTTTTGCATTGCTCGAGGGGCTCTGGGCTCCCTCCTCCGCTTCCGCTTTTCCTCCTCCTCCTCCTCCTCCTCCTCCTCCTCCTCCTCCTCCTCCTCCTGCCTGTCCGCCTCCATTGCTCATGCCAGCCACAGCCGAACCCCGCCGCGGGCCTGTGCTTCCGCCCGGGCCTCCTCCTCCTCGTTTGTCCTCCCTCCCTCCCTCCCTCCCTCCCTCCCTCCTTCCCTCCTCCCCCTCCCCCCCCCCTCCCCTCCCTCCCCCCTATCACAACAAGAACGATCGACCGCGACCGCAGCGACCGACAGACTAAAAGGGGGGCCCCGGCTTGAAGCTAGCAGCTACCCCCCTCCCACCTCCCCCCCTTTTCGTGGCTGGAAAGGGGGGGGCTTCGAAGCTTCCCCCTCCTTTTTCGGAACCGGAGGTCAGCCCGGATTCCCCTTTGAAACGGGGGGGAGCTTCGGAAGCTCCTCCCTTCCCCATCCATCCTTTTCGTGGCCGAAAAGGGGGAGGCTTCGAAGCTACCCCCTTCCTTCCCGTAATCGGAGCCGGAGGTTAGTCCGGGCTCCCCTTTGAAAGGGGGGATGCTGCGGAAGAACCCCCCCTCCCCCCTTTGTTTCCAAAGGGGGGGGGGCTGGAAACCCCGCCCCCCTTACCCCCTTTGGGGGGGGCGGGGGCGGAGGGAGGGGGACAGGGGGATTGCATTGCAGTGGATTGCCTTTGATTCGAATGGAATCTTGTGGATTGCAATCGATTGGGTTGCAATCGGTTGGACTGCAATCGATTCGATGGCAATCGATTGGAATGCAGGGGAGGGACAGGAGGGAGGGGAGGGAGGGAGGGGAGGGAGGGAAGATAGAGGAGGGAGGGGATGGAGTGGAGGGGGCGGAGGGAAGGGAGGGGGCGTACTAGCCTCTCACATTCTCTTCATTTCGAAAAGGAGGGGAGGAGGCAGAGGAGGGGGGGAGGGACGTGGGGTCAGGGTGGGGGTCAGGGTTCGGCTTTAGGGTGCACATTTAGGGTTAGGGTGAGGGTTCGGGCAGGGTAGGGTTAGGGTAAGGGTTTTAAGGTTTAGGGTTTAGGGTTAGGGCTTGGGTTAGGGTCTAGGGTTTCGGGTTAGGGTTTGGGTAAGGGTTGGGACAGGGTTACGGCTAGGGTTAGGGTTCGGGCTGTTTTGGGTTAGGGTTGAAGGTTTAGGGTCAACAAGAGCACGAACATGTCAACATACTGGCGTGTCACATACTGGCGCCGTGCCCACATCCCACCCACCCTAGAAACCCATTGCATATCAAGACGCACACTGCGGCGCATACAAGCCATCGGGGAAGGCCGCGTGGATCAGCGAGAAGCAGGAAGAAGCAGCGCGGAGCACGCGGGAAGAACAGCAGGCAGGAGGAACCGCGCAGGAGCGCGAGGCGGGATGTGGGGAGTGGTCACCGCGCGGGTGGGATGTTCTCCGCGCTGCATCTTTAAGAAAGGATCGCGAGGGGCCAAGGAGTTCGCTCCGGGGCCGTCGTGGGCCGAGCGTCGTCGTGGGCCCAGGCGCTTCCAGGCGCTGCCATGCTCTCCCAGGCGCCCCCAGGCGCCCCCCGGCGCTCCCAAGCGTTCCTAGGCTCTCCTATGCGCCCCCAGGCGCTCTCAAGCGTTCCCAAGGGTTGCCAGGCGCTCCCAGGCGCATTCAAGCGCTCCAAAGGAGCGCGGGAGCGGACGTCGTCATCGTCGTCGTCGTCGCCGAAAAAGTGCTTCGCGTTCGCCGTCGGGAGGAGGAGGAGGAGGAAGAGGAGGAGGAGGAGGAGGAGGAGGGCAGTGTGATGAGGGAATTTGGGCCTGTGAAGGGCATTTCCTGGCCGAACACCTGCTCCTTCGCTGCCGCCGACATCTCTGCAGTGGCATACGCGCTCGGGGTGTGCAATTGGATCGTGTCGATCGCGGCTGGCGCTGCCGAAGGCACGGGCCCTGGCCAATACCCGCCCGTCGGTTTGTGCGTGGCCCTGAACTGTGTTCGAGCGGCGGTGCGGTTCAAATTGGGCGAGTGGACCGCCGACGCGGACGAGAGGCTCAAGCTGAACACTGGCACGACGGCCAGTTTTCACATCTTTTGGGCGGAGGGGCAACTCCTCGTGCGAGATGCGGTCCTCGATGCGGCGGCGGCCGCATTGCAGATGCTCCCCCGTTCCGCGAACCAGGCTGACAACAACATTCCGGCCGGCGGCCCGATCCAGAGTCTGCCCAACATGGTCAACCCACTCGGCGCCGCGGCCATTCTGGTCCAATGGGCGCCGAGCCAGGCGATCATCGAGATCCTGCACGGGCTTGTGGAGAACAGCTTGGGAGTCAAAGTGGCGAGCATCGTGCTGCCATCGGTTCCCCAGCAGCGGCTCGCAGACCAACATCACTTCAAGGAAGATGATGGCGCCTCGTCTCCCTGGTTGGGCAAACGCGGCGAGGTGTTCACAGCCCTCGCTGCGCTGCTTGCCATGCAAATGATGGCGGTCCGTGCGTTCTTCCTCCACCGCTCTGCTCACGGGATTCCGGCAGCCCTGATCCTGGCTTGGGCAGTCGCCAACGAGTCCAAGACGGCCATCGTGGCGTGGGGCATGGAGACCGTCTCGGTGCGTTTCCCGCTCGAAGCCTCTGAAGAGCGCGCGGCTGATGCTTACGCGGCGGCCATGCGCGACTACCAGCAGGTCGCCGGCATGTTGGGCGCCCGCATCGTGGCACGCACCGTGGATGAAATCATTGCGTTTCTCGTCGGGCAGAATGACGCCTGGCATGAAGCTCATCAGGCGACGGCGCGCGCCCTCCTTGTGCAATGCGAGTCCTACATCGCTTACGCGGCTGGCTACATCAGCGCATATTCTGCCCAAGCGAACAGCAAATATTCCTCTGTGGAAGCAAGGTCCATGTCCCGCCTGCCCAAAGCCACGCCGTGGAATGCGGGGTTCGCGCAGGGCGAATCCGGGTGCCGTGTCTTCCGTCGCGCCGGGGTGCTGGGCTTCGCTCCGCCGCAGGCCCAGTACACCACCACTGGCGCGGCCCTCGCGGATCAGGCCGTCTATCTAGGCTGCGATCAACGCCGTGCCGACGGAGCCGCAGGGTCCTCGGGCACCCGCGACTGAGGCGCGCCTCCAGCAAATGGAAGACGCCTCCAGGCGTGCCGACCAGCGCTGGACGCTGGCTGCCCAGCAGGCCGCGATCGCGGGCCAGCCGGTGCCTCCGGCCCCGGACGATCTGGACTTCGCAGCCGCGGGGCGCCCAGCATCCACGTCTTTTACGCGGTTTTGAACGCCTTAGACAGCTACTCGTTCGTGGACATGTCGGAGCGACGGAAGCGGCGCTCAGGAGTACTCAATCGGTGCGACGTGATGATCGAGAAGGGGGCGCCGCACGACGCGGCGGACTGGGTCAGGAGGATGCTCTGCCCGCCCACATACGACAAGCCAGGCAAGGACGTGAAGAATCGGCTCACCTACCACTTGGTAGGGCGCACACTACCACCAGACGACGAAACACAAGAGCTCCTACTGCTGAAGGCCTTGGAGGAAAACGACAACACGGCAGGGCTGAGGCAGATCAATCCAGTGGAGCTCCCGACGGCAATGATGACAATGAAAGGCAGCGTCGTATCAGTAGAGAAGGTATTCAGCGAAGTACTACGAGCAGCAGGAGGCAGCGTCACGGCGAGCAAGGCGCCCAGAGGTGACCTAGCGAGGAAGCTGGGTGGAGGGCGCCGCAAGTGAGTGAGATCCATGCGTGACGCTGTGCGCTAGATTCGAGAAGATTTGAGTTGTTCAACCTGCTGTGGGCCAAGAGGGCCGGCGGCTAGTGTCAGTCGGGTTGCAACTGACTCGTCCTTGTATGCATGCACGGCAGTTGTCGCTCCTGGAGAGAGTTTTTATGATTTGAGGCTTTCGCCCTTTTCCGTAATATTCTGGCGTGCTGATTCAGAGGCCCGTCTGTGTGTAAATATATGCGTCTTAGCCCTTCTAGAGCTGTACTGTCTGTGCCATCGTGAAGTGGGGTCTCCGTGGCTTTGATCAGTCTCATCATTATCGTGCGCCCGCACCACCCACAATGGTATGGGCCTTGAGTCACGTGGGAGAAGAGCCGTGCCCCCTCGCTGGCACCGCTGGATGGTGCATCAGCCACCGCGCTCGAGAGCCCCCGTGAAAGCACGAAGCATGAGCGGTGATGTAGTTTAGCTATCTCATGGCCCTCACCAGGGCGAAGATTGCACAAGGCAGAAGACAAGTCATTGAATTATCTTGTTGTGGTTCGCTTAGTGGGTGTCGAACGAACGAACGAACGCACGCACGAACGAACGAACGAACGAGGGGGAGGAGGAGGAGGAGGAGGAGGAGGAGGAGGAGGAGGAGGAGAAGGAGGAGGAGGGGGAGGAGGAGGAGGAGGAGGAGGAGGAGGAGGAGAGGAGGAGGGGAGGAGGAGGAGGAGGAGGAGGATGGTAGGAGGTGGAGGAGGAGGAGGAGACGACGGAGACGACGACGACCCGGGCGACGACGACGAAAACGAGGGACGGGGCGATTGCCCCCGCGCCGAGCGCATGCCGCCAGCAAGCGCTTTTGACCGCCCCCCCCTGCCGGGCGCGCGCGATGCCGCGCGCGGGTGTTGGCCGCGCGCGCAACCCCGCCAACCGCGCACTGCCTTACGGGAGGGGCAACACCGGCGGCGGGAAGGCGGCCGGCGACGGCGCGGGCCAGACCGGAGGAAGGAAGGGCGGCGGCGGCGGCAAGACCGGCGGAGGGAAGGGCAAGGGCGGCGGGAACAGCGCCGGGAAGGGCAAGGCGGGCGGCAAGGTCGGCGGCGGCGGCGGCGGGGCGTTGCCGGTTCCGACGCACGCCGAGGACGGCGACGACGACGACGACGACGGCGACGACGACAACGACGACGGCGCTGCACGAGGCGCCCCTCGTGCACCGCGGCGCCGTCGCCACGTTCACGCCAGTCTCTCCGCCCCCGCCCTGGGCATCTGAGCGGGCGAGGGCGGGGGCGCGGAGTGCGCGGGCGGTTCGGGATGGATCCAGAACGAGGGCCCAGAACGACGACGACGACGACGGCGACAAAGACGGCGAGCGAGGAACAGCGGCGCGTGCGCTTCCGGCGCCGCGCGCCGACGCGCTTCGTCATCGGCGAGCGCGTCTTGTGCCAGTTGACGCGCAACAACCGCGGCGACGTCATCGCGAACCGGGAGGAGTCTTGCTGGTGGGAGAACGAGCGCGAGGAGACGGGGAAGGGGGGGGGCAAGTGAGCGCGCGTTCGGTTCGGTAGAGGGCGGCCGCGGCGGTGGCGGGCTGGTTGTTTAGCGCTCGTGAAAGTGCGAGGGGGGCGGGGGAGGAGGGCGAGGATGACGATGAGGGATATAAGCGCGAGGAGACGATGCAGTTTCGTTGGTATCTGACCGTCTAGACATGTTCTTGCGCGGCGGAGTCTCCGTGCGCTTTCAACGATAGTAGGTCGCTAGGGTCGTGGCGAGCGCGAGTCGCCTTGGTCGAGGCGGCGGCGCGCGCGCGCGCGCGTTTGGGCGTCTGAATGGGCGCGCAATCACGAGTGGGCGATACGCGTTTTTTTTTGTTGGCCCGATAAGACGTTCTCGGGCGTCGCGGCGTTCGCGTGGCGCCTCAACAGTAGGATTGCGCCGCGGTCGCAGCGAGCGCGATCCGCCCGGGCCCGAACGCCGGCGAACGTATTTTTAGGTTCCGAATCGGCTTGCCATCACGAGTGGAGAGGAAAACGTTTACCGTTTTTTTGGTCCGGCCAGAGGCGCTCGGGCGCCGCGGCGCACGCGCGGCGCCGCAGCAGTAGGATTGTGGCACCGTCGTCGCGAGCGCGATTCGCTCGTGTCGAAGCGACAGGAAACGTAGGTTCAGGTGTCTGAATCGGTTAACAATCACGAGTGGACGATAAAGCGTTACCGATTTTTGGTCCGGCCGGAGGCGCTCGGGCGCCGCGGCGCACGCGCGGTGCGTCAGCAGTGCGATTGGGCCACCGTCATCGCGAGCGCGATTCGTTCGTGTCGACGCGCCGGGAAACGCGCGTTTAGGTGCACGAATTGGCTTGTAATCGCTCGTGGACGATGCAATTTCACCGATCTCTGATCCGGCCAGAGGCGCTCGGGCGTCGCGGCGTTTCCGCGGCGCCTCAGCAGTAGGTTTGCGATGCCGTCGTCGCGACCGCGATTCGTTCGGGTCGACGCGGCGGCGCGCGCGCGCGTTTAGGTGCCTGAATCGGTTTGTAATCGCGAGTGGACGATAACATATTACCGACTTCTGGTCCGGCCAGAGGCGCTCGGGCGTCGCGTCGCATGCGTGGTGCCCCAGCAGTAGGATTGCGCCACCGCCGTCGCGAGCGCGATTCGCTCGTGTCGAAACTCCGGGGAATGTGCGCTTAGGCGTCCGAGTCGGCTTGTAATCACGAGAAGACGATAACATTTTACCGATTTTCGGTCCGGCCAGAGGCGATCGGGCGTCGTGGCGTTTGCGCGGTGCCTCAGCAGTAGGATTGCGCTACGATCGTAGCGATCCGTCCAGGTCGAAGCGCTGAGAAACGTACGTTCAGGTATCTCGGCTTGTAATCGCGTGTAGAGGATGAAGTTTTAAGATTTATCAATTGGGACGTACCTTTTGTGCTTTTTATTTGTTTATTTGGACACACAGTTGTGCTATCGAATAAGGGGAAGCTGACGACTTGTTTTGGCGCTGCCGAGGTCCCCTGCTTTCTGGTGTGATAATTCGTAAGGCCCTGGAAGCGAAAAGCTCGCTCGTTGTCGTGGTTTCGATTTTGGAATGCGTTGTCGGGTTCTTGGACATGCGTTTTTCGATCGCCGTTTTTTTGTCCCAGACGGCGCCCGGGGTTCCACATTCTGTTCTGGGAATAGGAAATGCAAATGTAATTGTTATGACACGTTGGCATTTCCCTGTCAACAGGGCGCTACTGGGCGAATCGTAGAGGTTTGTAACGCGTTGTGACTGGTTTTGACAGCGCCCCGACGTCTGATTGCAGGGGCCCTGTTAAGTCTTCGGGGCTGGGCGCCGCACCCCGAATCGCAAATGCATTGAAGTTGCCGCATTCGTCACCACTGTTTGATCCGCCTTGAAATTCTATGTAGTAACCTATCCCAGGAGAGCCTTCGTTATCGTCGCCGTCGGCGTGGTTCTTGGCAACGCTCGAGAGAGCCGTCTTCGTCGTCGTCGTCGTCGTCGTCGTCGTGGCTCATGGGAGCGCTCGAAGGAGCCATCGTCGTCGTCATCGCGGTCGTCGTCTTGTGGCTCCTTGGGAGCACTCCACAGAGGGGCGTTGTCGTCGCCGTCGGTGTGGTTCTGGGAGCGTTCGAGGGAACGGACGTCGTCCTCGTCGTCGCCGTCGTGGCGCATGGGACTGGTTGAGGGAACCGTCGAATCGCGCGGTTCTCTGGGGGGCGTCGCCGGTCGGGCAAGGATCTGCGCGAGGGGTACGCTCTGTGTTTTGCAAAAGTTTTCGGAACCATTCCTGGCACTCGGAGGGCAAGGATCTGCGTGAGGGGTGCGTCCTGCGATTTGCGGATCCTCCCAGAACGCCATTCCTGGTTCTCCAAGGCCGCGGATCAGCGTGAGGGGTGCGCCCTGGGTTTTGCAGATCCCCCCAGAACGCCATTCCTGGCGCTCCGAGGCCAAGGATCTGCGTGAGGGGTGCGCCAAAATGGGGGGCGGTATAATGGGAGTGCGGAAGGAAGGAGTTTTAGGATTTAAATCGCTATAGGCTTTTAGTTCTTAGGGCTAGGTGTTAGGGTAAGGCTCTTAGGGTATAAGGATGTTTTTTTTGTGGGGGGGCGGGGGGGGGATGTGGAGGGAGGGCACGGAGGTGGGGAGATGAGGGACGCGAGGGAAAGGGGTGGGGAGAGGGCAGGGACGGGAGGGAGTGGAGGTAGCGGTGGGGGGGGAGGGAGGTGGAGGGGAAGAAGGAAAGGAAACTGAGGCGGAGGAGTGTGGGACAGGTAGCGAGGGGAGCGAAGGGAGGGCGTCGCAAAGGGAGGAGTCGAGTATAATCGTATTGGTTGTGCCCCTCCAGGCGTTGCCAAGGGACGAGTCCAGTAGAAATGTCTTGTTTCGGTTTCCCGACCTTGCTCACGGCGCGAGCCTAGCATAATAGTATGTTTTCGCTCACCGGGCGTTGCCACGGGACGAGTAGAATAGTACAGTTGCGTTGCAATCGATTGCGCTATATTGGGTTGCAAACGATTCGATTGCAACATATTGGATTGCAATCGATTGGGTTGCAATCGGTTGGATTACATTCGATTCGATTCCATTCGATTGGGTTGCATGTGAGGGACAGGACGGAATGAAGGGAGGGGGGGAGAGGGTGGGGAGGGAGGGGAGGGAACGAAGGGTGGGGAGGGAGGGGAGGTAGGGGAGGGAGCGGAGGGAGGGGGAGGGGGGGATTGCAGTGGAATGGACTGCAATCGATTGCGTTGCAATCGATTGGATTTCAGTCGATTGCAGTGTAATCGATTGGATTGCAATCGATTGGATTGGAATCCGATATTTCGATCGTCGATCCTTGATCGTCGATCGTTGATCGTCGTTCGTCCATCCTCGATCGTTGATGTTTGATTTTAGATTGTCGGCGAAAGGGAGGGCGAGGGCTCCGAGGGCGGGATGGGGAAAAAAGAGGGAGGAGCGGGGGGGGTCCAACCCCCCCCCCCTTTAGAAAATGGGGGGAAGGGGGGGGGGGTAGTTTCCAGCAGGTCGGGTCCAAGGGGGTTCGGGTAAGGGTGGGGTTGGTGCTCGGGTTTAAGGTTTAGGGTTTAGGGTTAGGGCTTTGATTCGGGTCTAGGGTTTCGGGCTAGGGTTTGGGTAAGGGTTGGGGCAGGGTTACGGCTAGGGTTAGGGTTCGGTTTGTTTTGGGTTAGGGTTTAAGGTTCAGGGTTACGGTGTAGGGTAGAGGGTTAAGTCTTAGGGGTCAGGGCAAGGGTTAGGGTTAGGGGTTTGGGTGAGAGGGTTAGACGGTTAGGGCCTAGGCTTGTTTAAGTTTAGGAGGTTAAGGTTCGGGGGTTAGGGGCGGGCGGCGAGCGGGCGAGCGGGCGGGAGGGAGGGCGGGCTCGCGGGCGGGCGCGGGCGCGCGGGCGTGCGAGCGTGCGGGCGCGCAGGCGGGCGGGCGGGCGGGCGGGTGGGCGGGCGCGCGGGCGGGCGGGCGGGCGGTTACAGTCAGGGGGTTGGGTTTAGGATTGGGTGTTAGGTTAAGGGTCTCAGGGTATAAAAGGGTTCATTTTTGTTTGCAGGGGAGGGGTGTGGAGGGAGGGCACGGAGGCGGGGAGATGAGGGAGGCAAGGGAGGGGAGGGGGTGGAGAGACGGGAGGGAGGGGAGGGAGTGGAGGGAGCGGAGGGAGGGGAGGGAGGGGAGGGAGGCGAAGGGGAAGGAGGTGAGGTAACGGAGGCGGGGGAGGGTGGGAAGGGTAGCGAGGGTAGTGAGGGGAGGGCGTCGCAAAGGAGGAGTAGGTTATAATCGTATTTGTTGTGCCCCTCCAGGCGTTGTCAAGGGACGAATCTAGTAGAATTGTATAGTTTCGATTTCCCGACCTTGCTCATGGCACGAGTATAGCATCGGAGGTTGGGGGTGAGATCGCAGTGAAACGGAGAACCCCACCGGGAAATCTGTTTCGGTTTCGCGTTCGTGTCGTGCGTGCGGGCGAGGCGAAGCTGCGCGTGATCCTCCTGTAGCTAGGCCGAAGCAGGAGCGAAAGTTCGTTCCCGTCCGCCGGTGGCTGGGAGGTGTCCCAGTTGGGCCGGGCGGTGTCCCGGGTGTCCCGGGTGTCAGTAGGAGCGAAAGTCCGTTTCCCGTCCGCCGGTAGCCGGGAGGTGTCCTAGTTGGGCCGGGCGGTGTCCCGGGTGTGCCGGGCGTCCCGGTGACAGGCTGGAGGTCAGTCAGTGTGGGCAGTTGATCTCAATCCCCCTCGCAACCTCCTTCTCGCCCGTAGGGTGGTCGTATAGGTAATAGTATGTTATCGCCCCCCGGGCGTTGCCACGGGACGAGTAGAATAGTACAGTTGCGTTGCAATCGATTGCAATATATTGGATTGCAAGCGATTGCAAGCGATTCGATTGCAATCGATTGGATTGCATTCGGTTGGATTGCAATCGATTCGATTCCAATCGATTGGATTGCAAGGTAGGGGCAGGACGGAAGGGAGGGAGGGGAGGAGAGTGTGAGGAGGGAGGGGATGGATGGCAGGGAGCGGAGGGAGGGGGGGAGGGGGATTGCAGTGGAATGGACTGCAATCGATTGCGTTGCAATCGATTGGATTGCAGTCGATTGCATTGTAACCGATTGGATTGCAATCGATTGGATTGGAATCCGATCTTTCGATCGTCGGTCCTTGATCGTCGATCGTTGGTCGTCGGTCGTCCATCCTCGATCGTCGATTGTTGTTTTTGGATCTTCGGCGAAAGGGAGGGCGGGGGCTCCAGGGGCTGGATGGGAAAAGGGGAAATCGGGGGGGGCTTCCAAGCCCCCTTTGGAAAAAAAAAGAGTGGATGGGGGGGGGTAGCTTCCAGCAGAGCGGGTCCAGGGGGGGGGAGATATCCCCCCTCCTTTGGAAAGGGGGAGATGGATGGGTAGGTTCCGAGGCGGCCAAAGTGGGGGAGGGGGGGGGGAGCTTCCAGCAGGGGGGGTCCAAGGGGGGGGGGGGGTAGCTCAGCACCCCCCTCCCTTTGGAAAGGAGGAGGGTGGGGGGTAGCTTCCAAGGCGATCAAAAGGGGGGGAGGGGGGCGTAGCTTCCAAGCCCCCCCCCCTTGAAAAAAAACGAGGGGGAGAGGAGGGGCTTCCAACAAGGGCGGCCCAAGGAAGGGGGGGGAGCTTAAGCCAAGCCCCCCCCCCCTTGCTCGGTCGCTGCGGGCGCGCTCTCTCACAAGAACCTTAGACCCTCTCTTTCTGCGCAGCTCGACGAGCAGGATCGGGCCATGATGACCCCGGGCGCCGACGCCTGGCCAAAGCGCCCTGCTACGAAACGTCGAGGGGAGGCAGGGGGAGAGAAGGCATGGGGGGGGGAGGAGGGAGAAGGATGGAAGGTCTCCGCCTGCCAGCGCCCTGGGGCATCGGGCCCCCCAATCCTTGGACGTCGCGCCCCCCCCCCCTCCCCGCAGTGGGGGGCTCTGGCCGGCGACGGCTGCCAGCGCGCCCAGCCTCCGGGCGTGGGGCGGCGGCGCGGCGCCATGGTGCACGTGCCGGGCGGCAGGAGGAGCCGAGGGGGGCCTCGGGGAAGACCCAGACTTCCTCGAGTCATGAGGAATCGCGACTGCAGGTTTTCTCGCAACCCTCGGCCTCTGGGGGCCCTTGCAGGGGCTCGGGACCATCAGGTCCAAAACCTCTGGCCTCCTCTTCCTCATGGCTTTCCTGCTCCTCCTCCTCCTTGTCCTCCTGCTCCTTTTCCTGCTCTCCCTCCTCCTCCTCCTCCTCCTCCTCCTCCTCCTCCTCCTCTTCCTCCTCCTTCTGCTCCTCCTCCTCCCACCCGCTCCGCGGCGCCCGCCCACCGGCGAGGCCATCGGGCCGGTGCCCACCATCGGCGACCCGGCCAGAGAGGTCGCTCAGCGACCTCGCCGCGGAGGATCTGCGCTGGGAGCGCTTGCTGTGCGACCCGGACCGTCGCTCCGCAGCCCGACGACGGCGGCGCCGACGACGGACTCACAGGCGATTTTTGTTCACCCCGAATCCCATTCCTCCTCCTCCTCCTCCTCCTCCTCCTTCTCCTCCTCCTCCTCCTCCTCCTCCTTCTCCTCCTCCTCCTCCTACCCCTCCTCCTCCTCCTCGCCTCCAGGGTGGCACGGGGGCGGAGCGGCCTCCTCGGGGGCCTGCCTGGGCTCGAGGGCAGGGAGCCTGCCGTGGGGGCCGCCCGAAAAGTTTGGCCGCTCAAGTGAAGGGGGGAAACTCTGGGATACACCCCCGGGGGGCTACTCGGACGCACCTCTGTCCAGGATGGGCGCTCCCTCCTCGTATATCCCAGGGTTGGCCCCCGAATGGTTGGTCCATTCGAAGGCCTCACGATGCCGGGGATAGGGGTCGACATACACCTGTTATGGACCCTCAGATCCAGGCGGTGCAGCAAAAATCGCGGCAGCTGGTTTGTTCGAAGTTGTCGGCTTCTGGAGGCCGTCTGCTGCCCCCGGGGAGTCCGAACAGCGATTCAGGGTGAAGAGTTGGCCCTGGGCAGTGGGTCGAGATCCACGGGAGCCGACGTCAGGAAGCAAGTGCAACGGAATTGCAGTGTCGGCGGCGGCGACGGCGGCGGCCACAACAAATCCCTGACCTCCCCTGAGATCTTGGCGTCGCAGTTTTTCACGCCGCGCGGTTTCGCCCGGATTGGAGCCCTCGCGGATCGATCTGGCTCGAGGAGTGCGGCCGAATGATGAGGCGGAGGGTTTTCGTGGTGATTTCGGTGGATGCCGAATGTTTGTTTGCGCCCTCGGATCTCGGCGCCCTCGCGTCAAGGAAACATTCCTGTCGACTACTCTCTTCCTTCGGGGGCCCTCGCCTGGCCTCAATGGCCGTCCGAAATCAACACGGTATGAGGAACCATTCCTTTTGGGGGAGTGCTCCAGCTCTCTGGGGGTCAACATCGTGAAGAAACACGGCGTTAGAGTCCTGGGCTCCGCGCTGGACGACGACGGCGAGGACGACAGGCAGGAGACTGCCGGAAGTGCCCCCCCAGACGGTCAGAGCACACGGGGTCGCAGATCGTGCCGCATCGCCGATGTGTCGCTTAATTATGCGGCCCGACGTGGAGCCAGCTTTTCTCCATGCCGACGTCGCCGATGCAGCATCGAGGCATCGCCGATGGATCGGCGGTGTGGCGCGATATCCTCGGACCCCACCCGCGCGGACCCCGCGTGGGAGGCCTCTCGGGGTGCGCCCCGCTCTCTGCGCGGTCACGGGGGGGGCCTCGTCGGGGAGCTGGCCTCGGGGGCCACGTGAGGCTGCCTCTGGGCAGCCCCTGAGCAGAGGAGGCGGGCGGCAGCGGCTTCCGTCGTCTGTGGCCCGTCGGCGCCGTCGACCGTTGCACCGTCGGCCGTCGCCGTTCGGCGTCGTCGGCTGCCGCTTCGGGGCCGCGCCCGCCGGCGTACTGGTTGCCTGCTGGGTTGCCCTGGTGGCTGCCTCGTCGGTTGTCTGGTAGACCGCCTTTTCAGCTACCTCGCTGGCATCCTCCTCCTCTTCCTCCTCCTCCTCCTCCTCCTCCTCCTCCTCCTCCTCACCTTCCTCCTTCCTCCTCCTCCTCCGCCTCCTCCTCCTCCTCCGCCTCCTCCTCCTCCTCCTCCGCCTCCTCCTCCTCCTCCTCCTGCGCCTCCTCCTCCTCCTCCTCCTCCCCTTCCTCCTCCTCCTCCTCCTCCTCCTCCTCCTCCTCCTCCTTCCTCCTCCTCCTCCTCCTCCTCCTCCTCCTCCTCCTCCTCCTCCTCCTCCTCCTCCTCCTCCTCTCCCCTCTCCTCCTCCTCCTCCTCCTCCTCCTCCTCTCCTCCTCCTCCTCCTCCTCCTCCTCCTCCTCCTCCTCCTCCCTAACTGAAAAAAAACGCCCCCCCCCCAGAAGGAACGATGCCTCTGGCCCCGAGCCGTCGCTCTCTGCGTGGGGGTCAGCCACTCCCCTCTGGCCGACCCGGGCCTGCGAGCCGCGTGGGCCGATTCCCTGCTCCTCCTCCTCCTCCTCCTCCCCCTCCTCCTCCTCCTCCTCCTCCTCCTCCTCCTCCTCCTCCTCCTCCTCCGCCTCCTCCTCCTCCTCGCCCCTTCTCCTCCTCGCCCCTCCTCCTCCTCCTCCTCCTCCTCCTCCTCCTCCTCCTCCTCCTCCTCCTCCTCCTCCGCCTCCTCCTCCTCCTCGCCTCCCTCCTCCTCCTCCTCCTCCTCCTCCTCCTCCTCCTCCTCCTCCTCCTCCTCCTCCTCCTCCTCCTCCTCCTCCTCCTCCTCCTCCTTCCCCACTCCGCCATCCGCCGACCCGGGCTTGGGAGCTACTGAGCGGCTGGCCGGGCCTCCTCACGGGGCCCTGGCCAACCCGGGTCTGGGCTGACCTCGGCGGGTGCGTGCCCTTTCTCGTCTCTCGTTGTCGTCGTCGCTCTTCGCCGTCGTCGGGGGGGAGGGGGGCCCTTTCCTCGTCTCTCGTTGTCGTCGTCGCTCTTCGCCGTCGTCGGGGGGGGGAGGGGGGCCCCTTTCTCGTCTCTCGTTGTCGTCGTCGCTCTTCGCCGTCGTCGTGGGGGAGGGGGGCCCCTTTTCTCGCCTCTCGTTGTCGTCGTCGCTCTTCGCCGTCGTCGGGGGGGAGGGGGGAGGAGGAGGGGCAGCATCCCCGGAGCAGCTTGACTCCGGCGGCGTTCGGGATCTCGTGGCGAGGACAACCTGTTCTGTGGCGACGAGTGCGTGGGGGGCGCGTATCAGCAGTACCTGATGGACGTCGTCACGGTGATGGAAGACTACGACTGCTGTTTCCGAGAAGCCGTGGTCCTCGCTGCCAAGCTCGACGCGGAGGAGCGAGGGCAAAAGTAGTGAGCGGTTAATTTGGACGGGCCATTATTCTCGAGTTTCTGTTGTTCGTCAGGCGCTCCGACTAAGTAGGACTGTTCCTCTGTGATTGGCAGGCTCGGTTGGATCTTGCACGTGCGAGCTTGCGCGTCAGCTTCCGACCCCGTGGGGCATGCCTTCTGCTCGACCACCCTGTTTGATTGTACGTCCCGCCCGATGGGTGCGCGAATGCAGCATCCTCCAAGAGAGACGCTATACCTCGTGGACAGAAGTGCCCTCAACCAGGGTTGGCCAGAGGGGTTGGCCAGGAGAGTTGGCCGTGCTTGGCCGGTGCACTAGTCCGCGCTGGCCGCAATCTTGACCGGCGTAATCCTTCGATGCGTTTGTTCCGCCCCTGGCTACCATCAGGCAGGAAGGGGGCACAGGGAGAGGCGCAGATTGGGCGTGCCCGCATGCCCCCTTAGTCGTTGACACTCGCCAGCGCCCACGCTCACCCGTTCCTGGCTTCTTGGCCTCTTGGATGGGGGCAGAGTAGATGGGGTCGGAGGATCGCGCCGCATCGGCGACGCATCGGCGATGCGGCTGCGACCCCATCCTGTTCCGACCCCATCGAGGAGGCTTCTATGGCTGCAAGGCCCGCATGGGCCCAGAACAACCCTCGCGCCGGCCGCATCGGAATCCCTTGCGACCGAGGCACTCGCGTCCGCCTTGCTGCCCCGGCCGGCGCGCGGCCGAGGATCTCGGGCGGACTGCACCGGGCGCGGCTCTGCGCCGTCCCCGAGGGCGGGTGCAGAGGTCAGAACGACAATTGTCTAGGACTCCCAGATGGGGTCAGAGCAGATGGGGTCGGAGGATCGCGCCGCATCGCCAATGCATCGGCGATGCGCCTCGATGTCAGACATCCTCGCAAGTCAGACCTCGGAGTTGCCCTGCCCCCAGCCCCATGGTGGTCAGGTCACTTTCGCATCCTCGCAACTGTGGGTTTTGGGATGCCCTGAGCTCAGATCTTCGCGCCATTTTCGCTTGAAACATCCTCGCAACGCTGACTTCAGATACTCCCTGCCCCAAATTGTGCTGGCCAGTTCCGCCTAGGCAAACTCGCAGTGTTGGCCTGGGATGTGCCCTGCCTTGACGTAGGCTGACCCCGGATCTGCCGCGAGATACGGTGTTCAGGCCACTTTCGCCTGAGTCGCCCTCGCACCTCTAACTTCGGAGATGCCCTACCCCATGGCGGTCCGGCCACTTTCGCCTGCGACATCCTCGCAACAGTGGATTCCGAGACGCCTAAAGCTGACCTGTTCAGGCCATTTTCGCATGCGACATCCTCGTAACCCTCAGTTCTGAGATGCCCTGAGCTGAATGGTCAGGCCACTTTCGCTTTAGACATCCTAAGAGATCTGACCTCGGATATGCCCTGCCCCAAGTTGGTTCGGCCACTGTCGCCTCGTAAAATATCACAGCCCAGGATCACGTGTTTCTGCCGCATTGTTCGAGCCAGTCGATCTGTGCGGGCCCCAGGGCCCGAAAGCAAAAGAAAACCCCCTGCTCGAAAAAAAAAGTGCAACGCCATGACCTCAGGACGCGGATCCCCGACCTCTCGTCCGCATCCCCTGGGCTAATTCTCATCCCGAGTCTGTTTTTGACGGCCCCGAGCTTGGTAAGGGCGCAGATACCCTAACTGTATGAATAACGTCTGCCTCGATGCGAGGCATTCCGAAATGGGCATCGTTTTCGAAAGATCGAGAAGATGGTACCCTCTTCCGCTGGCGGAAATAAGAAACGCCCCCCCAAGGGATGGCAATGTTTTGGGGTGCAGGGCTTCTGGAGCTCGCCATTTATTCCAGGCGCCGGATGTCTGGGCCGGGTGTTGCCCGGAGTCCCCATGGCCAGGGTGTTCCCAGGATTTCCAAGAAGGTGCCCATGGCCTCCAGAGCACCCCTCACGATGCCCAGTGGGCCCCAGGTCGGCGGCGAGCGAGGGGGGAAGTGAGAAGGAGAAGGCAGAGGGCGGCGGGACTTCTCAGAAGCCCTCGCGCCTTCTAAGGTTATGTTTCTTCGGGGAAGGCCCAGAACACTTGTCAGACGGCCGGGGGACTTCTGAGCCTTCTGAGAAGGCCCATCCCCTCTCGCCCGCCGCCGACCAGGGGCTCCAGAAGACCGCGAAAAGCTGGGCCCGGCTGAATCCCGTGAAATCCGGCCTAATCCCGAGAGTTCCAGACCCGCTTATAATCCGGCTAACTCCCGCTCAGTCCGCGGCCTCGTCCTGCGCAGCAGCTCCCCCGTATGGAGCTCAATCCTCTTGGATCCTTCCGACGACGACCTCCCAGCAGTTTTGCCTCCCAACAAGGGGGCCCCCGGGGCTCCAGAAGAGCGCGAAAGGCCGGGGGCGCCCTGGGCCAACGGGTCGGGGGTGGACAGAACCCCCTAACAGCGACACGCAGATTCGTGAATTGTCCGTGTTCGGCTCTCACGAGGGGGGCGCCGTGGCCGTTATTTTCCAGGCTTGCGCCCGCCTGAAGTTTCAAATCAGCCTTATATTTAGCAAATCGCTTAAATTTAAGCCTATCCTAGATTTAACCCAAAATGCTGGAGATTTTGACTTAAAAAATAAGCAACATAATAAGCAATGTTTTGTCCATTTCGTCCTCGAACCGTACTGGATTTAAGCTTATGTTTAAGCTTATGTTTAAGCTTAAACTGTTGCTTAAGTTACATAGCGGGAAGCCGAGCGCTCTCACGCTGCTCCTGCGCGGGCGGATGACAGTTTCACGATGCGAGTTGTCGCTGTTTTTGTCATTGTTGTCGTCGTCGCCCCGCGCCCCGCCGCGCGACTCGCCCGCCGCCCGCCCGCGACCCACCGCCTGCGACCCGCCCCCGCGACGCACCCGCGACTCGACCGCGATCTGCCCTGAGCACAATCGCGAGACACCCGCGACTCGCCCGCGACCTCCCCGCGACTTACCCGCGACCCGCACGATGCGACGCGTCGCGCGCGGCTGAAGCGGGGGGGGAATGCTGTTCAATCATGCTGACCAGCCATCTTCTTATACCTGCGAGAGGAAGTGGAAAGCAGGTCGAGGGAATGACATCAAATGCAATAGTCTGGATGTGCGGGGCTGGCGGCGGAGAGCCCTGGTCTTAGCTCGAACCCAAGAGTCTCCGACTCGACCCCGCCCTGGGCGCCAAGATGGCCCCATGGCCCAAATATTGCCCCGAACATGCCTTTCGAAGCGATCCCGATATGGTCCCATGACGACCCCATGACCCAACATATGACCACATGCCGACCGCAAGGCCTCAAGGCAACCCCAATGCCATCCCAAGATCACACGCCACGATTCTAACAGACCGAGAGACTACCCGAGGACGGCCCACAGACGATCCCACGACGACCCCTAGATGACCCGATGACCCCATAGGTTGGCCCCGAGGTCGTAAAGATGACCGCAAAACGACCGCGCGAAGACCCAGAGACAACGTCTCTTTCTTGTGTGCACGTTGCGGCATCTGTGTGCAAACATGTTTTTTTTCCTAGAGCGCCCCTGTGGTGCAATCGGCAGACGGGTGGCTCGAAAAAACCTGCTAGGCGAGCCACGTCCAGGAAACGATCCTAGTTCTGCATGCCTGCTGTTGCTGCTTCCCTTTTCTCCCTCGTCGTCCTAGCTTTCCCTCTTTGCGGCGAGAAGGAGGAGGAGGAGGAGGAGGAGGAGGAGGAGGAGGCAGAGGGTAGCGTCGACGCTCCCGCCGCCGCCGCCGCTCCCGTCGTCTCTTCCCCTGCCTTCGCCGCCGCCGTTTCTGCCGCTACCGCCGCTGCCAGGGCTGTAAGTGCATCGGCCGCTGTTGCCGCTGCTGCCGTTGCGTTTGCTCCTGCTCTTGCTCCTGCTTCTGCTCCTGCTGTTACTTTTGCTGCTGGGCTTTCGCTCTTCCGTTTTGTCTCCCTCTCCTTCCCTCACCTCTGGCGTTCCCCCTCCTCTCCCCCTCCAGCCCTCCCCCCTCCTTTCCCCCCCTGCTGCTGCTGCTGCGGGCCCCTTTCCCTCTGCCTCCCTCGCTCCCTCTGGTGCTGAGGTCGGTCCGTTTCACTTCCTTTTCCTCCTCCCGTCTCCTCCCCCCCCTCTCCCGGGGTGGCGCAGGGCAGAGGCCGCGCCGTCCCCGCCATCCCCGTCGTGGTACGCCTCCTCCAGACGAGCCTGGAGGCGGGGCCGCGGCGGCCCGGCCAGGGACGGGCAGAGGGGGGAGAAAGAGAGAGAAAGAGAGAGAGAGAAGGCGGGGGAGAGGAGAGGGGAGGAGAGGGGGGGACGGGGGGAGAGGAGGGGAAGGGGCAAACGAGCAAGAGAAGAGGGGGGAGGAAAGCAACGATGTGGGAGGCGATGCGAGGCGAATCGAGGATGCGGAAAAAGGAACAACGATAGAAGAATCATATGGAACTCGCAATTTTCGCGCGATCGTGTAAATGCACGCGGTAACAGTCGAAGCACTTGCAGAACATTGGACACACCCACTTGCGGGTCTGTCCAACATCAGCTTGGCAGGCCAGGGGGTGTTTCGCAGTAGGGTTGATCTGTATCCTTTGCCATCTGGCCTCACTAGTCCCCTCGTCCTCCGCCTCGCCTCCTCCTCCTCTCCTCCTCAAAAAATCGTCGGCCAGTTTAGCGGTGCAAATTTAAGTGTTTCACCTTGGCCAGCCCCGCGGTACAAATTTAAGTGCTTCGCCTTGCTGGGGGTGCAGTATTTCGGTGCCAAAAAAAACAACCGCTTGCAGAACGTCCCAAAACCATATGCCACAAACAAGAAGGGAGACCAGACAGACACGGAAAGAGGCTCATAACCACCAGAAAAGAGAAACTTGGTAACAGCGGTTTTCTCGCATATCGCTCCGCGCCGAATTGATTTTTGCTGGCCCCAGGGCCCGAACAGTGACGAAAACAACATAGGATCGTCAGACGCGCGGGTCGGCACAAACCGCATCCAACGAAAACGGCGTGAAAAAATGCGGCCGAACAAAAAAAACA